GGGACCCTGGGCGTTTGGGGGGGGGGGGGGGGTTACTAAGGGCCTGAAGATATTTGGCACAGGGGGGGGTTCCTGTGTACCCGTATATGACACAAGAAAACACACCCCGGTGATAACATTTTGGAGTTTGAAAATATAATCACCGGGTGTGGTATCCTGTGGGGGGTGTGTTATCTTGTGTACCCCGGGTGGTAAAGTGCAGCTCGCAGGGGCCCCTAAGGGGGTGTGATAAAACAGGGGGTGTGATAGCGCGTCCGAACACCCACAGCGTGTGTTTGGGGGTGTGATAAATGAGGGTGTGTGATAAAAGGGTGTGTGATAGCACGTCCGAACAGCCACAGCGTGTGCTTTGGGGTGTGATAAATGAGGGGGTGCGATAAAAGGGGGTGTGATAGCCATGCCTGCACGTACACGTGCAGTGTAGGGACCTACCTAAAGGGGCGTGGAAAAACAAAGGGGCTCAACCGAGGTGACGAAACTCCTGAGCACATGACCTCGGCGATAACTCAACCCTCTCATCGCCAAAAAAAGTTTGAAACAAAATACGGGCTTGAATCGAGCAAGAAAAAAAAAAAATCGAAGGTACCTCGACCGATACGATGATTGGCGGTGGCCACAGACTGCGTGCGCCATCCTTCCTGCCCCACTCACAAAAACGTTTACTTGGTGCTTGCGGCTGCATTCTGCTCTGCCTGCACGTTCATGTTGTTGGGGGTCTCCATGCGGGGTGTTTCCCCTCACACAGATGCCGTGGCTGTGTGTGTGATTGCCCAGGGCAGATGCTGTCACCGTGGTGATAAAGAAGGAGGGGCCCCGTGACTATATGCGGCGTAACTAAAAATACCACCGGGGTGTGTTATCTTATGTACCCCCGGTGATAAATCGATGGTGGGTCAGAAGCGCCCAAAACTATCACCGGGGTGTCGTATTCTGTGGGGGGTGTGCTTTCTTATGTAGGTGTGTTATATTGGGTCATATACGGTAGTACACGGCTGATATAGCATGGTCCGTTCAGACGACGTTCTGCATCGAATGGCAGCATCGCCATGACGCGTGTAAAAATCCCCGACACTCTTTCTTGCCTTCTTGGTGTTTCTGACAGTTTTTTTCCTGTGATACGGGGACACGTCGGCTGTGTGAGCCGTTCGAGCTCTGGGAAACGTCGCAGCCAGCCAGCTGCGGGCTGCTCCTGCTGCCTTTTATTTTCATTTTCATCATGCATCAACCCGTGAGATGTACTTCTTCCTCTTCGGGCTTGTGTTCCCTTTCCTTGCTAGTGGGCGTGTTCTTTAGATCCTCTGATAGCTCTATGTAGCATTTTTGTGACCACGGACTCGAGCTTTAGCTAGATTTTGGGAATAGCAACCGACACGAGTTTAATATGAAGACAACAACAACAACAACAACAACAACAACAACAACCCTTGAAGACACCGTTCTTTCGTGAGCCCACTGGGGAGGAGTCGCTTGAAATAAAACACTCAACACTGACTGCTCTATTGTCACGTGGGTTGGGTCGGTTAGCTTAGCTTACCGCTACGAATGTGTCGAAG